CATTGAATCATGAAGTGATACGTACCAAAGTGCTCAGTAACACAGTGTACGTTTATCTCTGTCGAAGTCTCCATTTACAGACATTTAGTTCCATGTATTTTTGAACATTTTATAACGCACATAGTGTATTGTATTCCACTCAGAGATGACACGAAGTAGCGTGTGAAGTTGTGTTATTTGCATCCTACTTTTGCTGAATTGGATTTAATATTAACACCATCTTTTAAGCAATACTATTTCAATTTGTTTACTTCGCTATGCAGAGAAGCATTTCCATCTGCCTCGGTGGTTTGTATATTTTATTTGTTTATATTGTTTTATACTTAAGAAATCTTAAACATCCCTGTATACAAACTCAGGTATAGAAAATAATGTATTGGTAGTCATAGGTCTTAAATACTCGCTGTCACATTCCGTAAAACTTCAACATGTTTGTGTTAAAAGCAAGTTGAAATACATCTGTACTTATTTAATTAAACGAGGCAGTTAGTCGTATTCAAGTCTGGTATATAAGATAATTAACCAATATGATCCCCTCTGTGTGATAATGTTATCAGAATGGGTGTGACACTGAGCCACATATCTGAGGGTCGGGCGCGTGATCGCCCTAAAACTAATTAACTCATCAACACACCCAAGCTCTTTACAGCGCTCGAATTGTCATGGCATTGTGACTGAGTGCGAGTCCTATCCGATCACATCTAACCACTTCACATTGAATTTATGTACTTATGTATTCTGAATAATAAGGAATTTCGAACAGAATGGTTATATCGAAGAGCAGAATGACATTACATAACAGTGCAAGGGATCTGAAGGCATGCATATCCGTTTCACTTGTATTACAGTTCTGTATTGTAGGGAGAATGTGGCACTCTATCAATCATTCTTGGTTGTGAATTATGATTGTAATGGTTGTATGGGTGAAACATGATTGTAATGGTTGTATGGGTGAAACATGATTGTAATGAGGTAAACATCTCACTATACAGATGTTACACTCACTAACACGTTCAAATTAAATTATGTAAATTCATAACTGTGAATTTGTCCCAAGCATTCGTTACAAAACACGGTACACCAGAGAGAAAGCCAGTTAAACGGTCGCGTAAGCTGAGACTGTTTGAAATTACTCACAAAGTGTTTGTGGATTTAATTTAACAGATGTTCACAATTCTAGATACATATAACATCAAATATATGATACATTCTTGTACAACGTGGCTTCCAGTTTTATTAACAGGTTGGAGGGTGTTGTATTTCGCTACTCTGATTGCGATGGTTTATTAAATAGTTTTGTCTTGCCCTGGGTCTATCTAGCATCATAAATTGCAACGAATGTGACACCCAGTTTGCTCACACTTGGGTTTCGATGAATGCGATACAAGTCTGTAAGCTGTAAATCCGTCATCACTTCTAATCATTCTAAATCTCTTTAATCTTTTCAAGTATGTATAGTGCAAATTTTGCATTGCGGTTTATTGACATTTCTAAAATATTTCAACCCCAATCATCAAAGTGAAATGTATATTAATATTTATCTTCATAAAATAATCGTAAAAGAAAAATGTCTCACCTTGCTACATCCACGTTATTAAAACACTTGGGGCGGCAACATCAAAGGCTCCACAGAGGTGCAAATTACAGGTAATATGTATCCAATACACTATGTTTAGTGGGATGTGCAGGGCTGATAACACAACAATGACCACAGATGCTGACCCTCTCGTAGATTCCTGAGGGTAGAGGAATCAGGCCCGGGGGTGAAGAGATATCCCGTGTGTGGAGGAGAACCGTAATTTCAATGCTGAGGTATTCCGACTGGCCGTAGTGATCGCTATACGAACGGCCGTCTGAAAGCTAGATTAAACACCATGTGTTTAAACTACAGCTCTCACGCGAACTTCAAACATACACAGCCTGCGATTGGGCCATTCAGATCCTCGACGAATACACATTGATCAAATTCGCATTAAGATCCATTAAATTTTACAATATCGCATATAACTAGTCCACGAGCGGATTTGTTATTGTGCTCATTTCATTGGATGATGAAGACAGCCCTAATGAGAATTCGCTCTCTGATTGGCTGCTTCGTCAGCGATCCATTCACACAGAGAGGGGCGAGATTCACATTCGTGGCTGCTCAGGAACAGGCAGCATTCGGGGATGTGTACTAGCTTAACAAGTTATCACGGTTGGCTAATAGATAAAAATATTGACAGATACAGAATAGATGTGAATGGATTTGGTAACCCCTAGGGTTACAATCACGGATTTACCCCAAAAATTTAATTATAGTTTTATACAAAAGCACCACGATCCAGTTCTCCGGGCTTAAGGGTGTATATAGCGGGTGAGTGCAGACCCATGTTCTGATAAACCCTCACACTTGAGGTGTTTCGTTTCGCTGGAACCCACGAAGTCCCCCTCTTATAATTGTTAGGAAAATACCTTAAGATGAATGGAAGAACTCGCGGAAAATATTATTCTAAACAACAGCGTAAATATCGAAGAATGGGGCGAACAATACTCCGAAGAATCGCCGCAAGGGGAACGGTGCTTTTGTACGTGGAGTTTGACACTTGTAGTCAGGTTGGGCTACTTCTTAGTACGGACAAAATTAACAGGTAATGAGTTTATTTATCCGGATAAATTGATGTATATAGCGGGGACCGCGTGTGAATCCCAGGTGACGAATAGCTTGGAGGCAAAACCTTGTGAAAGAGAGGGATTTTAAGACATTTGGGGACACAATCGTGAACACAGCCATGAAAATAACCTGTCAGTGGGAATTCAAATTTCATGAGAACGGAAACATAACTGTAAACTATTTTACAAAAATAGCTTTTGGGTAAACTTATGAAAAAGCGTACTTATATCTTCCGGACCTCATGAACATTTTATATAGCGTTTGTGTTATAGTTTAAGAGCTGCAAATATAACATATTTAATTCTATTAAGTCTTGCTTAAAAAGCTGACCTGAACATATGTTGTCCTATATTAAACTTTCTCAATCAATGAGTGGGCAGATCAAATAATTCAATAACGTTGTCATGGAAACAACTATTCATGGATTCACATTACAACGCTTGTATTCTGTTTCATATTAGTATATCAATTTACCAGCGCCATGGACTCTGGTTCATCTCATGGTTATTAACCCATCTGCCAACATTGTTTACAAAGCTACCCTTACGAGCCCAACACTAACTATGACGACACATACAATATCCGTTCCGTAATAATATATCATTATCGAAATATGAACGATGTTGTACATACTATGCATATCACGGGTATCATTGTTACAAGTTGATGCAGATGAATATATTGTAATATACATTACTGTACGTTCATAACAGATACAGGGGCGTTGGGGTAGCCTAGTGGTTGAAGTATTGGCTCGTCATGCTGAAGATCCGGTCGGGTTCTTTCCCCTCATGGGTACGATATTTGAGTCCCATTTCTGGTGTTCCTTATCTTTGCTGGAATGTCGCTAAAAGCGCCGTAAATAATCACTCACTCATTATAGCTATAGTATATTATTATGAATGAATGGATGTAATAATATATAAAGTATATATATGGTATATCCAATGGCATGTCGTGATCATATTGATAATAAATTATATTAAAAATATATTTGTGATATATTAATGAAAATACGTATAGAAAGGATACGACAGGAATAGGTATATTATTCCAGACTATTTCAGTAAGAGACTTTTACGCCGCTTTCAGCGACACTCTGGCAATATCACGGGCTTCACACATTGTACCCATGATTGGAATAAAACCCCAACCTCGGCATAACGAGCGAACGCTTTAACCACTGGGCCACCGCCGCACCTTTCTATTGGAGAACGCCAAGACACATGTATAATCTGACAGATAATCTGACATACAGAGTAGGCGTTGTCGGTAACAGCGGCAGTTTACAAAGAAGTGTCAGCAACTACATCATCTCCACCGCTGCTGTCAAAACTCGTTCACTTCGAGACTGTCCATCCAAAATTGATAATGTATAGGACGGGGTATTGTGTTTGAATTAAGTCAGTTGCACAATTTCAAGTATATTAGTTTCCAAGGAAAAGCTGGTTAAAACGTGAACCAGTAAAGAGATTTTCTCCGCAAGAGGCGAGTTGGAGAGAAATGTCTCGCACATGGCATGGGACACCAGAAATAGGCTTTCAAAGAGGAAAACGAACCCGGGCTTTCAGTGTGACAAGACAACGCTTTAACCATCTACCTTTACAAGTTAAATAAGTTAAATCCGATGATGATGAGTGAGTGATACACCCACACTTTCCGATAGGCCCGTGAACATCCGGGTTAGAATTGGTCTTCACCAACCCAAGCTTGTCGTAAGAGGTGCCTAACGGGATCGGGTGGTCAGGCTCGCTGTCTTGGTTGACACATGTCATCATATCCCAATTGCGTAGAGCGATGTTCATGATGTTGATCACTGGATTGTCTGATCGAGACTCGATTATTTACAGACCGTCGTTATACAGTACAGCGTAAACAACAAACAACAAACAACCAAAACAACTTCCTATACACCAGAGTTGGTTTCTTGCATCAGTGCCCTCCATGTGGTCGTGATTCCCCCCCTATTCATTCACTGTAGACTATCGACGGTAAACACTACCGTGTGCGTGTGCACAAATATATAGAAGCATTTTCTATCCTGGTGGGAATATGCTGAGGATTTTCCTTGTGGAACACAGGCGCAATCTCAGTGTGAACAGCTGTCTGCATACTTTACCACAGTCCAGAGAGCATAATTTTCCGATTACGCCTAGAACCGTTTTATCAACAGAGCTCACTATAGAACACCGTCCGTAGCTACATATGTGATCTTTGAACGAGGTTCTGCCTGCATTAATTGTACCGACCGCCGTAATTTGTCCTTCTATAATCTCCAATTTATCACATTCTCATTTTGATACCGCTATCACACTTTATATCCCTGTACAACTGCTGGGTGATGCAGCTCCCATACCCAACACCTCTGTAGAGCTGCTGGTAGATACAGCTCCCATACCTCACACCTCTACAGAACTGCTGGTAGATACAGCTCCCATACCTCACACCTCTATAGAACTGCCGGTACATACAGCTCCCATATCTCACACCTTTATAGAACTGCTGGTAGATACAGCTCCCATACCCCACACCTCTGAAGAGCTGCTGGTAGATACAGCTCCCATACCTCACACCTCTGTAGAGCTGCTGGTAGATACAGCTCCCATACCTCACACCTCTATAGACCTGCTGGCAAATACAGCTCCCATGTCTCACACCTCTGTTGAGCTGCTGGTAGATACAGCTCCCATACCTCACACCTCTATAGAGCTGCTGGTAGATACAGCTCCCATACCTCACATCTCTATAGAGCTGCTGGTAGATACAGCTCCCATGTCTCACACATCTGTAGAACTGCTGGTAGATACAGCTCCTATATCTCACGCCCCTATAGAGCTGCTGGTGGATACATATCCCATACCTCACACCTCTATAGAACTGCTGGTACATACAGCTCCCATATCTCACACCTTTATAGAACTGCTGGTAGATACAGCTCCCATACCCCACACCTCTGAAGAGCTGCTGGTAGATACAGCTCCCATACCTCACACCTCTGTAGAGCTGCTGGTAGATACAGCTCCCATACCTCACACCTCTATAGACCTGCTGGCAAATACAGCTCCCATGTCTCACACCTCTGTTGAGCTGCTGGTAGATACAGCTCCCATACCTCACACCTCTATAGAGCTGCTGGTAGATACAGCTCCCATACCTCACATCTCTATAGAGCTGCTGGTAGATACAGCTCCCATGTCTCACACATCTGTAGAACTGCTGGTAGATACAGCTCCTATATCTCACGCCCCTATAGAGCTGCTGGTGGATACATATCCCATACCTCACACCTCTATAGAGCTGCTGGTACATACAGCTCCCATATCTCACACCTACCTCTACAGAGCTGCTGGCAGATGCAGGTCCAATACCTCACACCTCTTTAGAGCTGCTGGTGGATACAGCTCCCATACCTCACACCTCTATAGAGCTGCTGGTAGATACAGCTCCCATATCTCACACCTCTATAGAGCTGCTGGTAGATACAGCTCCCATATCTCACATCTCTACAGAACTGCTGGTAGATACAGCTCCCATATCTCACATCTCTACAGAACTGCTGGTAGATACAGCTCCCATATCTCAGATCTCTATAGAGCTGCTGGTGGATACAGCTCCCATACCTCACACCTCTATAGAACTGCTGGTACATACAGCTCCCATACCTCACACCTCTATAGAACTGCTGGTAGATACAGCTCCCATACCTCACACCTCTATAGAACTGCTGGTAGATACAGCTCCCATACCTCACACCTCTACAGAACTGCTGGTAGATACAGCTCCCATACCTCACACCTCTATAGAGCTGCTGGTAGATACAGCTCCCATCCCATACCTCACACCTCTACAGAACTGCTGGTAGATACAGCTCCCATACCTCACATCTCTATAGAGCTGCTGGTGGATACAGCTCCCATACCTCACACCTCTACAGAACTGCTGGTAGATACAGCTCCCATACCTCACACCTCTATAGAACTGCCGGTAGATACAGCTCCCATATCTCACACCTCTATAGAGCTGCTGGTAGATACAGCTCCCATATCTCACACCTCTACAGAACTGCCGGTAGATACAGCTCCCATACCTCACACCTCTATAGAGCTGCTGGTAGATACAGCTCCCATATCTCACACCTCTATAGAGCTGCTGGTAGATACAGCTCCCATACCTCACACCTCTATCGAGCTGCTGGTGGATACAGCTCCCATATCTCACACCTCTATAGAACTGCTGGTAGATACAGCTCCCATACCTCACACCTCTACAGAACTGCCGGTAGATACAGCTCCCATACCTCACACTTCTACAGAGCTGCTGGTAGATACAGCTCCCATACCTCACATCTCTATAGAGCTGCTGGTGGATACAGCTCCCATACCTCACACCTCTATAGAACTGCTGGTAGATACAGCTCCCATACCTCACACCTCTACAGAACTGCTGGTAGATACAGCTCCCATACCTCACACCTCTATAGAACTGCTGGTAGATACAGCTCCCATACCTCACACCTCTACAGAACTGCTGGTAGATACAGCTCCCATACCTCACATCTCTATAGAGCTGCTGGTGGATACAGCTCCCATACCTCACACCTCTACAGAACTGCTGGTAGATACAGCTCCCATACCTCACATCTCTATAGAGCTGCTGGTGGATACAGCTCCCATATCTCACACCTCTATAGAACTGCCGGTAGATACAGCTCCCATACCTCACACCTCTATAGAACTGCTGGTAGATACAGCTCCCATATCTCACACCTCTATAGAGCTGCTGGTAGATACAGCTCCCATATCTCACACCTCTATAGAACTGCTGGTAGATACAGCCCCGATACCTCCAACCTCTATAGAGCTGCTGGTAGATACAGCTCCCATACCTCACACCTCTATAGAGCTGCTGGTAGATACAGTTCCCATATCTCACACCTCTATAGAGCTGCTGGTAGATGCAGCTCCCATATCTAACACCTCTATAGAGCTGCTGGTAGATACAGTTCCCATATCTCACACCTCTATAGAGCTGCTGGTAGATACAGCTCCCATATCTAACACCTCTATAGAGCTGCTGGTAGATACAGCTCCCATACCTCACATATCTATAGAGCTGCTGGTGGATACAGCTCCCATATCTCACACCTCTATAGAGCTGCTGGTAGATACAGCTCCCATATCTAACACCTCTATAGAGCTGCTGGTAGATACAGCTCCCATACCTCACATATCTATAGAGCTGCTGGTAGATACAGCTCCCATACCTCACATATCTATAGAGCTGCTGGTGGATACAGCTCCCATACCTCACATCTCTATAGAGCTGCTGGTGGATACAGCTCCCATACCTCACATCTCTATAGAGCTGCAGGCTGTAGATCCCAAGCCCGTACCCTGCGGCAAACGATTGGACTGATGGGTGAGTCCTATATCCAGAGTTGTGTACATTCACGTAATAGTTTGGTTCTTGTCCTGTCATTCGCTGGTAAGTAAGTTGAGATCACCTGCATATATTACCAAGTTGGAATAGCCACATTGTCAAGTTGACATTCCACAAGTATCTGACTTCTACAAACATTACACCCAACTCTCTATTAAATACATTATTGTGTGAAATAAGCAGCTATCTGGAGACGAAGGCACTTTAATTACAGGAATGCTGACGCAAGAGTTTCTTACTTAAAGTTCATTTAGGAAATCATTAATTTTGTTTCAGCTGTAAAAAGCCAAGTCGAGACCAGCGTATCCTGTCCAAATCCACGGAGCTTTCTGAAATATGTACACGTTCTGACTGAGAAGGATATGGATGAAGGCCTATTTTCACACGATAATTCATGAAAACTTGTACAGCTGATTAGTTTTTCCAATCTGAAATTCATTGTTATGTAATAAAAGGAGCAAAACCATTCCGTACTCGTATGAAATCTTTGCTAACACCTTATCCTGCGATTCCGACTATACTGGTATATGCATGGATTTCTCGATCACTGTCAAATGTTGTTTCCAGAACGACCAGTGCATCATGCATGTTGCATATTACGTACAAATTGAACACACACACACACACGCACACACATATATTTCACTCAATAGATGACGATAGCACGCACATTTATCAGCTTCTTAAAATGTATGTATTGCTTCTGAAACAATTCTTTGTAAAAAATCCGAATTTCTAACAGTTATCAATCTATTACACTTAACAGATCACGCTAACACGCACAAACACACACACGCACGCTCGCGCGCTCGCGTACTACAATTACCAGCTTCTTAAAATGTAAGCATTGCTCCATGAACACATATTTTAAAAAAATAGGCGGTTTTAAAGCCTGCACGTGCCTCCATGCTCTGAGACGACAGAGAATTCTATAATCTTTTTTCTCCCTTGCATAAAACAGGGTTTCGTGATGGACTTGGAATTTATTTTAATTCTTTCTTTACCGTTATATCTTACACTAATTACAAAAACTACACTTTGATCTTGAGATTATAGCTTTACAAGTTAACATTTTATCCGATTACCTCGCGTTATTCATGAATTTCCCTAATGTATTGAAAAGAAAATTACACTTTTCTCCTTCCCGGCACTATAGCTCTGGAAATCAATTTTGAAAATAAGCAAGGATATATTGTCGTATATCACGAGCAGTGTTAGAAACGGTCACATACGTGGCGTAGCGTTCACACGTACGAGACAACGAGTGGATTGCAAGAGGAACTATCTTGACCTACGAATCTACGGCCCCCATTGTGGCTTGGTCGGGATTATTCTTTGAAGAACACACTCACACATGTGTAATCCGCTCTCATATAACAACGACATGACTCGAAGTAACAGTGTTCTATGTATAACGAAAGTTATGATGTGAATCATAAGCTAGACAAAGGAATCAAAGATCAAAGGCTCCACCGCCCGCCGACAATTCCCGGTCCATGTTTTTGACGAAACCCATGCACTGAGCTACACCCTTCTTTCTTTGGACTATTCTCATGTTATGAGGAGAATGCGAAATGCACGATTTCATTCGGCCGTTACATTGAGACATCTGCTTTTTATGAACTCCTATTAAGGTCCGTTTCTTTTGCCCTTTGCGTCGACGCTGCGTAATACACGTTTCCCGTTTTCGTGTTATCAAAAAGTAGGAATTCTTGGACAGAACGTTATTGTGGAAATTGACGACACGTGAATGAGAACCGATTCACCGTTGTCTTAAACTGTGACAGGTGGCATGGTGGCAGGGGGAACACTGTTTGGCCTCGTTGTAAGCCACTTTAGGTACAGGTCGAAATTCATGCCTCGTATCAATAACATTCTTTTCATGATATGAAATAACTCACACGTTTCCTGCACCAGTTACGTGCTGTCAATCAGAAGGACCTTTTCAATATGCAACGTACATGTACGATCACTGTGACTGGTTACGCCGTTGAAATGCGCAGACGGTGAATTCGTCTTCACCAGAATCTTAGTCGGGTTTACAAATCCTGAAACAAGTTGATCCAGTAAAATCCATGCAAATCTTATATTTTATAAAAACATTTTAGAACTATTTTTCTTTAAAACATGTTTTCTCGGAGAATATGCTATACATTTATGAGTGGCTTATATTGGTTTGTAACACGGTTCTTCAACATTGCCTGGACGACCTGAAGGTCTATGATTTCATCAGTTCACTTTAAAGGTGAACTGATGTCAAAGTTCCTCCAAGCAGCTTCGATACCACGCATTCAAATCTCACTTTTGTTAAACCTTATGATATATATGGTGAGTGAGATGAGTTTTACGCCGCTTTTAGCAATATTCCACCAATATTACAGCGGGGGACACCAGAAATGGGCTTCACACATTGTACCCAAGGTCTTCGGCGTGACGCTTTAACCACTAGGCCACCCCACCGCCCCTACTATATATATAACAGTCAATGTTTAATGATTGCTGCCAGTTTACCCCAGGGTAGCTTAGTGGGTAGAGCATTCGCTCGTCACACCAAAGACCCGGGGTTCGAATCACACACATATCGTGTGGTCTATCAATAAGCAGAGTGATCAGACTTTAACTTTGCTCCAGAGATATGGCGTTTCCGAGATGTGAAATTGCTGTCGGTTGGACTGTGTAAAATAAATGAATAAGATCACGAACACGATAAGGTCAAATCTGACGAAGAGCAAGAAATACCTTCAACCAGTATGTGAAAGAAGGACTGAACACTCGACACATGAAGCACTCACTAGGGATCGAGACAACGTTGTGGGATACTTTTGGAGTGACCTTTTTAAGAATTCGTGACTTTTAGGGAAAGAGTAGAATAAGGCTTAGTCTCTGAATATATATAATTTTGATAGTAACAAACAAGCCCATTTATATTGAAAAGGAGCCCTAGGGAGACCAGAGATTCAGAACCTGAACCTGAGGAAATCTAGACTTGCTTTATTTAGGGCTTTAGCACTGCAGAGAGGGCTTGGCAGTAGGGAAATTAATGTGGTTCAGGGACTGTGAGACAAACTAGGGAAAGAGTTGCGCATGGATAAAATATATTTCCATCGGAAGACGAAATCAGATATGATATGTGGTCTCACGTGTGTATTTATAACTCCTGGGCGATTGTGTCAGTGCTAAAATGCTAGAAAATGGGGGGGCGGTGGGGTAGCCTAATGGTTAAAGCGTCCGCTCGTCACACCGAAGACCCGGGTTCAATTCCCCACATGGGTACAATGTGTGAAGCCCATTTCTGGTGTCTCCCTCCGTGATATTGCTGGAATATTGCCAAAAGCGGCGCAAAACCATACTCACTCACTCACTAGAAAACGGTTAGGTGTTCAACCTTGTTCTTAGACGCGTCGATGCTCCTGCTGTTGATCACTGGATTGTGTGGTCCAGACCTGATCATTACTAATAGACCGCCGCCATATAGCTGGAATATTTTGCTGAGTGAGGCGTTAAACAAAAACCGAACCAAACTTAAAGGCTGTGGTCTTGATGGTGGGTACAACAGTGTCTATTGCATATACGGGTTGTAAGTTGGTGGGCGGGTCGGTGAGTTGATGGGTGGACGTTTGAGTCTTTTTAACGGCGTGTTAAGCAGTATTCCATGTATTTTACGGCATGTTATGGGAACAACGCCAGCTCGGATGACGTGTACCACTTTTGTGAACCCACGAGCTTTAATAAGGGTATGGAGTTGACAAACCTAAAATATGATCACTGACAATCTGGGAATGAAAACCACAATCACTGGTTTCTGCTAAGCGTGAGGAAAGAAGCCTTGTGGGCTGGATACGATGTGTGAATACATAACCGTCATGGTACTGTATTAAAGACGTTATGTCACCTATAATCGTTTCCTATATATCTATACAGCTAATTGCGGCGCCTTAGATATAAATAAGTATATGTATCACACCATGCAGCACATACGGTAACGTAACGTGTTTTGTGATATGGATCTAATGAACAGGGTTTGGCTATGGCGAAAAGTACCCACCCTTGGAATTATTTGCCTGTTATTGACTCAGTTCATTATGGCCGTGAGTACACTGACGTCCATTGTGTTGTCGTGTTTGTAAACATCCGCCTTAGCTGATGTCGTTGGTTTGACAACTGGTGAATGACCAATAACTAAACTAGCAAGGTGTTAAGAGTCAAATCTCTCTCACAAATACGGGAAAGGCCAGTGCTTGAGTTTGAGTGACAATTTGTCAGTATTTGTATGCCCGTTCTTGAGAACACACCAGCACGTGTTCAAGACGGAATTTTACCTCGTCCCTCTCCTGGGGGTTTCATGACATTGACACCATTCCTGGGTTCCTCTCTATCCCTTTCCGAGTCATCGCATACCAAGCAAAGATATCCGCCATGTTTTCCCTCCAGTTTCTTCGTCTCAAGACGAGCGCCATAGACATAACTGGTTTTGCCGTTGGAATGCGCATCCTGTAGTCACGGTGAAAGTCCATACTCGCGCTATCCTTTCCGTGTTAATATCGGATCTCACCCATGCCTGTTTATGTGACTCTGTACGACCCCAGGATCACACCCCATGCGGACACCCGCCTCGCTCACCAAGGCCAAATCTTCCACCCAGAATTTAACTCACTGCTCCTTGAATCCTCAAGTTTCAGGCCCCCTCTCTCTCAGTATTTCAGTACTTTGAGGTCTTCTTTTCAATGTAAATGGTGCTATTTGTTTCTCTAAAAATTCTATATTTTAGAGACTAAGCCTACATTCACCCTGCGATCCCTCCCTGCAATCTCTTCCATCCCTCACCTCCACCCGCAGTTTAACCACCAACCGCCCCACCCATCTCATGTACCCCCACCGCGGCCCCGTCCCTCCATCGCCCACCATTCCCAGCCAGACAAGATGGTACATGTATAAAAAGCCTGGGAATTTGTGTGCAGTATTTTCCCGCAGAGTTG